TTCGCTTCTCTATCTCTTCGCGTTGCGACGATATCGTCGCGGAAGTAAAGGGGGGCAACTATATGCCCCCCCCCCCCCCCAGCGGCCGGCGGGTGGGGCGGAGGCCCAGCGGCCGCCGGGTTAAGCACGTGCATAAAGTTGCATTATGTTCACATTCAGATTCGCGTGCACATTCCCGGACCCCTCAGATTTGGCTCAAAATTGTGCAACTTATAGATTTTGAGCTCCTGATTGCGCGAAAATCATGTTCTTATTTCACGCCGTCAAGTGGTTCTCAAAATATTCACATTTGTTTTACGAGTTCTGAAGCTCTTAATTTCACCTTAATTATTAATGCTGCAGTCATTCGACTCGGCTGATTGAAAGGGATACAATGACGTCATTGTTGAAGCTGTACCCCTGCTTTATGCCGAGTTACTAGCAAAAACATAGTTTGACCGCATTTGACCTCAGTTGACCCGACTCTTGCTTTCTTGCACCAAAGAAACACAAATTAACCCGCGCCCTGCTGGGGGGGGGGGGCAGATCCCCCTGTCTAACTTCCGAAATTATGGTCGTAGAAAGACGGGGAAAACGGCAATCGAAAGCTAAACAAGGCGGATCTAAAGAGCCGTTTTTTTTTGCTTGAGTAGGTGAGAGGTCAGTTCAAGGTCAGGTCAAGGGTACAAAATGCAAGTTTCTGCAGTATCGGCCTTGCACCGTGGTTGCCGAAGATTGGACTGAGACTGATTGCCCAAAACGTGTTCTTAGGCTACCAAGACCATATTCGTTGCATATTATATCATGAAAAGATCAAGGTCAAGGTCAGGTCAGGTCACCAAAAACGGAATATAGAAAAGGCATGCGTGACACATGTTTTATGGGTCATTTTATTCATAGAATTCAATAGGCACACTCAATAAGTGATATGGACCACATCTGGATGAATTTCTGGTCAAGGCCAGTTCAAGGTCAGGTCAAGTGAGGTCTAATTTTGGAGTTGGTTGTTAAGCCCTAAAAAGGTGTCTAATATGTGTTCACTAAAAATTGAGACAAAATTTAGCGGACTGTATCTTCAGTAAAAATGTACCGATTTAAACAAACGAGGCATTATTGTAAAGCGCATTGCACCTGCTGCAAGCTGTAGAGCGTCAACAGATTTGCCTGATCCCCATATGTCTCTTTTTGGACGTTTGCTTGTGTTTTCACATTCTCTGGCACCAGTGGGCCGTGAATTTGGCCAATTCATGGCGGTAACGAACAAACCAGTGACGTACCCAAGGGGGGGGCCCCTCAGGCCCCAGGATATTTTTTTAAACACTGGATAAAACGTCTTTTACTCAGAAGAAAAATTGATATTTAAGTTTCATTTATGTGCCCTGGGTACCCGAGGGGCCCCTGCAGTCATCCAAGGGCCCCCAGTTTCCTGGGCCCCTGGTCGCCTAGGGGGCCTCTGGTAGCCGGGGGCCTGGTCTCATGGGGCCCCTGATAGCCTGTGGCCCCTAGTCGCCTAGGGGGCCCTGGTCGCATAGGGGGCCTCTGGTCGCATGAGGCCCCTGATCGACTGGGGGCCCCTAGTTGCCTAGGGGCCCTGATAGCCCGGGGCCTGGTCGTATGGGCCCCTGATAGTCTGTGGCCCCTAGTCGCCTAGGGGGCCCTAGTCGCATGGGGGGCCTCTGGTTGCATGATATTGAGGACCCTGATCGCCTGGGGGTACCTAGTCGCCCAGGGGGCCCCTGGTAGCCGGGGGGCCTGGTCGCATGGGGGCCCCTGGTTGCCTGGGGCCCCCGGTCGCCCCTAGTCGCCTTGGGCCCCTGGTAGCCTGGGATCCCCTGGTCGCCTGGGGGCCCCTGATCGCCTGAGGGCCGCTGGTCAACTAGAGGGCCCCTGGTCGCCTGGGGGCCCCTGGTAGCCGGGGGCCTGGTCGCATGGGACCCCCTGGTCGCATGGGGGCCCCCTGGTCGCCTGGGGGCCCCTGATCGCTTTGGGGACCTGATCGCATTGGCCCTTGGTCGCCTCGAGGGCCCTGGTCGCCTGGGGCAGTGGGGCACCTAGTCATCTGGAGGACCTGGTCGCCTGGGAACCCTTGGTCGACTGGGGGCCCCTGGTCGTCTGAAAGTACGCTTATCACCTGATTGATCCCAAATCATCTGAGTGGCTACTGGCTGCTGGATATAAGTAGTGACTGGAGTAGGCACTCATCTGAAGGAGCCAATATCTTTCACGGTGCCGGAGATATCACAGAAAAACAAAAAGGCTACCCCCCAACCTTGGCCCCAAAGGCGTCATTGGCTAACACAGGGATGTGGGTCGATTTGCAATCGCATTTCCTCCTAAGTCCTATTCCTCCAATTAATACAGTGTCCCAGAATTACCCAAACATTTATTTTCTGGCTAAAAGTACAATTGCGCTCGATTCCTAGTGAAACATATAATAGCCGCGTTTACATAGGGCTTGTTGCCAGATAGTGGAATTCCGATAACGAGACATTTATTCCCCACTATTATATTATATACCTACATATCCGGATTGGAGGATGTTCAGTAATTGAGGCGCTCGCTCATAAAATGCCGTGCGTTTCATGCACACTCCTCAAGCAAAAATATTTTTACTTTCCAAATTTCCACATTTTCTCAAGGCTTAGACCGTTACAGAGACCGTTTTAATTGACTTTGATGAAGTTGAACGCGAGAAATCACAACCAAATGCTACATTAGGTTGTAAAGAACTGAATTGCGTTTTCCCACACACGTGGCGTTTTCTCACCTACGTCTGCAGGAGAGACCGGACCCACTATGCCCCCCCCCCCCCACCATCGAAAGGTTCTTCATGACTCCCGGGGGCCCCCGGGGAACCTGGGGGGCCCTATACACTGTGGGGGGCCCCTTCGAAAGCAGGTGGCCCCCTCCTGGGCGAAATCCTGGGTACGTGCCTGGAACAAACAGTTGATATTTTCTATGAAATTTAAAGACACCAACATACGTTATAGCCTTCGGCAAAACACATTTAATACTCATTTCTTAAATTTCAGGCGCGGCAAACGGCTTATTGGGCCTCGTTCCAAGTGGAATTTTTACATCGGCCGGGGTCCTCAAGGCGCCCCTTGGTTAGTGTGCTGGCGTGAGGTCAGACCAGAAGACTACCTTCTGGTTACATATGTTGTTCTGCGTGAACTTCCAGTACTAAATAATACACTTGGCTCCGAAAATATCATATTATATAGGACCAGCCTGGATGAATGAAGTCGAACTGTTGATATGCTTTAAAATGACACATACACCATAGCATCCAGCGTTAGCTTGCATACTGACACTTAAATGGACGTTAGCTCTTGTGTCATCGATAGCATCACTACAGAACACTTCATTGTCTAGTTAATTGTCGCCCTTTAACTAAAAACATAACTTTTCTTCTTTAAATAGTTCGACCTTTTCTGAACTTTTTGGCCCTTTCTTGACCATTGCATATTTACGTCTATTGCCTAATGCTGTTCCCGGTCGCTTCGAGAAATCATTTACGCCGTTTGTTACTCAGCCTAGCCTCAGGTGTGTTTATCTTCTTCGTGTTGGTACAGCTGATACCCTACTGATCAGCAGCATTGCGCCGTGAGGTGCCAAAAAGCCCCTCCACGTGCATTTTCGGGGCGCCGACCTTTCCTCAGGTCAATATCTTCACAATAACACTACTTCAGCTTTTTCGGACTCCCACACCCACATAGAACTTTCTTTCCACCTTGCGGTATGTAACTAAGTTCGACATTATAAGTTTTCATTAGTACGTCCGAGACTCTCCCATTGACGCACTATTTTGGGAAAGCCTGCCAATAGGCTTCCGGTGGTCCTTATTTAATGCGACCTCCTATGCGACTGATTTGATCATATATCCGTGAAATTTTATGCTCGATATGATGAGAAATGTTCCTTTTATCTCTATGGAAAGTTGTATCGAAATAGCTTGCTTCGCTTTTGGTGTGCAGTTATTCAAAGTTTGTGTCAATTTTTAGTGAACACCCTATATCTTATGCAGCTTTTCACGGCGAGTCGAATGGTCCTATTTTTGGTTCTCTACGAGGTCTCGAACTTCCAAAAAATCTGTTTTTTTTTTTTAATTGTGGGTCGTGATGTCATAAAAATTTGAAGAACTCCCACATTTTTGAACCGATTCTTCTAAAAATTGGCATGTAGGTGCACATAGACCACTTCTCTGCCATATATCGACACCTTTTTTTTAAACCCCACATTTGTTCTCCCGTGAAGTTCAGATAAGTTGTTTAGAAACCTTCCAAAAAGGTACAGTCACTCGATTTTTCTCAAGTTTGTCTGCCTTGGCAGATCAAGCAATGCCAGAGCAAGCTCACGAACACACAAATTTGATCAGGATCGGACGATTGGACACGTTTAAAAAGAGATCTTTCGTACTTCCCGGAAATTCACCGGAGAACAGATGTGGGGTTTAAAAAAAAGGTGTCGATATCTTCCGGTTTTTTCGATACACTGACAATTTTGGATTTTATAATGATTTTCCCAAAAAAGTCAGTATTTAAAGAAAAGAACGGCCAAAATCCAGAATTTTCAAAACACCGAGATAGCCATTTGATAGACAAAGTAGAATCACGTATAATCTTTTTGTTACGTCTTGATTCCTTTAGAAATAAAGATGTTAGCGGCGTTTGGAGTTTTGTCGTTGTTGAGGCGAAAATGGCGTGACATGACGTCACTTAAACGTTATTTTCAAAAAAAAATCTGACGGATTTCGCTCAAATTTTCAGGGATCGTGTTAAATTGATGTATGATAAGGTACTGAAAGTTTTACGTCACTGGCGTAACGCTTTTAGAAGTTACTGGTGAAAAAAAACGGGAGGGGGGCAGATTCTCCCCCCCCCCAGCGGGGCGCAAGTTAAGTTGCGCATTAGCCTAACTACTCACGAACTAACTCACTCACTCACTTACTTTCTCTCTCTCTCCCTCACTCTCACTATCACTCTCACTCTCACTCTCACTCTCACTCTCCCTGCCGACAGGACGTGGCTGCCGGACGTTGTGCCGCGACTATGGCCGTTCCTGGGCCACCCCAGCTCCAATGTGCGCCGGTCGGCAGTGAAGACACTGAGTCAGCTCGTCGGCACACAGGTAGGCCACTGCCTGACTGCCAAGCTCTGCTGTCGTTTGATTGAGATGATTACTCCCTTCAGTTGCATTCTTGCTGGCTCCACTTGTACGGGATACCACCATACCTGAGTGAGCGCATCCGCAACCAGCATCCCCTCCCCTCAGCCGCGGCGCAGTGGCGGGCGGCCCACTCTCGGCGTTACGCACGCTCCACGCCGCGATAGCGCGTCACTCCCCTGCCTCCTTCCCCCCCAAAATGACCGGTGGCCTCACTCCCCTTGGGATTTGGTTTGGACTCGCCCTACCCCGACCGTAGCGCCACGTGGTGTCTCTGTAGATTTTAACCCTCGCCCGCACATGAGGGGGGGGGCGTCCAAATGCGTTTTTGCGCATTATCCCCCATACGCATTATCCCCCCAGGCTAATGCGTAACTTGACCGGGGGGGGTGCGACCTCCCCCAGGTAGTTTTTCTGTTCTGCACTAAACATTTTTTAAAGCTAGAAGCCTGATTTTTCGTACTCATACTGGATCGCCTACTGTGCGCTGGCCGACCGGTCCCGGACGGCTGGTCCGACCCTGGCGGCGCTGGCGGATCAGCCGAACATCTTCGTATGAAGTCACCTCGGTAGCCGTTCAAGGCGAATATGTCGTGCAGTGTCTTTTCTTCTTTGTGAAGATGTTCGGCTGATCCGCCAGCGCCGCCAGGGTCGGACCAGCCGTCCGGGACCGGTCAGCCAGCGCCACCGGGGTCGGACCAGCCGTCCGGGACCGGTCAGCCAGCGCCACCGGGGTCGGACCAGCCGTCCGGGACCGGTCAGCCAGCGCCACCGGGGTCGGACCAGCCGTCCGGGACCGGTCAGCCAGCGCCACCGGGGTCGGACCAGCCGTCCGGGACCGGTCAGCCAGCGCCACCGGGGTCGGACCAGCCGTCCGGGACCGGTCAGCCAGCGCCACCGGGGTCGGACCAGCCGTCCGGGACCGGTCAGCCAGCGCCACCGGGGTCGGACCAGCCGTCCGGGACCGGTCAGCCAGCGCCACCGGGGTCGGACCAGCCGTCCGGGACCGGTCAGCCAGCGCCAACGGGGTCGGACCAGCCGTCCGGGACCGGTCAGCCAGCGCCACCGGGGTCGGACCAGCCGTCCGGGACCGGTCAGCCAGCGCCACCGGGGTCGGACCAGCCGTCCGGGACCGGTCAGCCAGCGCCACCGGGGTCGGACCAGCCGTCCGGGACCGGTCAGCCAGCGCCACCGGGGTCGAACCAGCCGTCCGGGACCGGTCAGCCAGCGCCACCGGGGTCGGACCAGCCGTCCGGGACCGGTCAGCCAGCGCCACCGGGGTCGGACCAGCCGTCCGGGACCGGTCAGCCAGCGCCACCGGGGTCGAACCAGCCGTCCGGGACCGGTCAGCCAGCGCCACCGGGGTCGGACCAGCCACCTACCAATCAGCCGTCCGGCGCCAACCGCCCTCGTCATGTCTCCATGCCTTGTGTGAAAGGAGTAAGCGAACCCATCTCCCGCCTTCTACGCGCTCACAACGTAATTGACGGGCATTCGTCAAAAACTCTAAAAAAAAGTCACTATTTATCGTGAAAGATAGGATTCCTAAGGCCAAGCAAAAGGGTGCGATATAACCGCAGGTTGTTGTTTCATTAGACAAACACTATTCGTTAGAATTGTGTTTTTCTATTGAAAAACAACCGGAGCGGTCGTTCTCCGGGCTATGTTTTGCATGGCTGGGCGCGAATCGAGACATCTTGATTGGGGCCTAGACGAATCGTTCAATCTTCGTAAAAAGTTCAGTGTATGGGCTCTCGGAGGCGATCTACCTGATGGCACCGGTCGCTACTCGCTAAGAATTCTTTTGCGCGTGGCACGTGCGATTCCATATAACCGCAGGTTGTTGTTTCATTAGACAAACACTATTCGTTAGAATTGTGTTTTTCTATTGAAAAACAACCGGTAACCGCAGGTTGTTGTTTCATTAGACAAACATTATTCGTTAGAATTGTGTTTTTCTATTGAAAAACAACCGGAGCGGTCGTTCTCCGGGCTTTGTTTTGCATGGCTGGCCGCGAATCGAGACATCTTTATTGGGGCCTAGACGAATCGTTCAATCTTCGTAAAAAGTTCAGTGTATGGGCTCTCGGAGGCGATCTACCTGATGGCACCGGTCGCTACTCGCTAAGAATTAATCGAATAAGATTAATTCTTTAATTAATTAATTCTAAGAATTAATCGAATAAGACGCCGTCCCTCACGCTGTGACCACGGCCCGGAATATCCCGTTCTGTTGGCGAGAGGACGTGCGACTGCAGCTCGACGAGCTGATGGAAAAGGACATCATCGAGCCGGTGGAGCACCCCACAGACTGGTGTCATCCGATCGTTCCTGTTGCCAAACGGTCATCAGACGGCACAGTGTCCGGCTGCCGGCTGACCGTGGACTTCACGAAACTGAACCGGTTCGTGAAGCGACCGACGTACCCGGTCCGCTCGCCTCAAGACGCAGTCGCCTCCGTCTCACCCGGCGCTGCGTACTTCACCAAGCTGGACAGCAAGGCGGAGTACCACCAGGTCCCGATCCGGCCAGAAGACAGAGACCTGACGTGTTTTATCACGCCGTGGGGCCGCTACCGCTACCTGAGGGCTCCAATGGGAATCGTCAGCTCTGGCGACGTGTACAACCAGCGCGGTGACGCCGCGCTCGGCGACATCCCGCGCACGTGTAAGGTCGTGGACGACGTCCTGGCCTATGATGCTGACTACGCCGCCCACCTGCAGCACGTGCGGCAGATGCTGAAGAGATGTGACCAGCACGGCATCACACTCAACTCGGACAAGTGTCAGTTCGCGGAAGATGAAGTGGAATTCTGCGGCTTCCGCATCAATTCAGCTGGCTATACCGCCGACGGCAAGAAAGTCCGTGCAATCCAGGCCTTCCCCAGGCCGGGCAACATCACCGACCTACGGTCGTTTCTCGGCCTGGTGACCCAGCTCGGCGCCTTCTCCCCAGAGGTCGCCGCCGCCGCCGAGCCGCTGAGACAGCTGCTGCGGCCGCGGAACGCGTGGCTGTGGACGCCAGCGCACGAGCAGGCGTTCAGCGCGGTGAAGATGGCACTCACGTCGCCTCCCGTGCTCGACTTCTTCGACCCTCGCCGCCGCACAGTCCTCGAGACTGACGCCGCTCGCTCCGGCGGCCTGGGCTACTGCCTGCTGCAGCAAGACGCCGCAGGCCGGTGGCGACTGATCCAGTGCGGCTCACGCTTCCTATCGGACGCCGAGTCGCGGTACGCCGTGATCGAGCTGGAGCTGCTGGCCCTGGCCTGGGCCTGCAAGAAATGCAGCATCTATCTCAGCGGGATGCAGCGGTTTGAAGTCCTGACCGATCACCGGCCGCTCATCCCGATCCTCAACAGTAAGAGCCTCGCGGAGATCGAAAATCCGCGGCTCCAGCGGCTACGAGAACGGCTGACGCCGTTCAACCTGCTCGCCACCTGGCGGCAAGGCAAGCTGCACGCCATCCCGGACGCGCTGTCGCGCGCGCCGGTGGATGACCCGGCGCCTGAGGACGAGGAAGCCGAGAGGGACGCCAGCCATCAACTCGCCAGCGTGCTCTCACGGCTGGCCACCGACGGGGCGGACGACGGTCCCAGCCCGTTCAAAGACGCGGCGCTGACAGAAGTGCGCGCCGCCGCCGCCGCCGATCCGGAGCTCATCGCACTCACTGACCTGATCCTGGACGGATTTCCAGAGCACCGGTCACAGCTGGACCCGCGCCTCCGACCGTACTGGGGAGTTCGGGACCGGCTGGCCGTGGACGACGGCCTGGTGGTGTGCGGCCAGCGGCTCGTGATACCGCCCAGTCTCCGGCGCGCCACGCTCGAGCGCCTGCACGCCAGTCACCAGGGCGTCGAGCGCACCAAACGGCGCGCACGGCAGGTGGTCTACTGGCCGTTCCTGGACAGTGACATTGCGAACCATGTCGGAGCGTGCCCGGCCTGCCAGCGGTACCTGCCCAGTCAGCAGAAGGAGCCGCTGATGCCGGAAAAGACGCCGTCACGAGTGTTTGAGGCTGTCTCCGCTGACTACTTCGCCTGGGCCGGCCGCACGTTCCTGGTATACGCGGACCGGCTGTCCGGGTGGCCGTTTGTGTCGCACGTGGCCGGCGAGGCGACTGCCAGAGACCTGGTCTGCAGCCTGCGCCAGATGTTCGCGGCCACCGGCGTGCCCACCACCCTCCGGACAGACGGTGGACCCCAGTTCACCGCCCGGCTCACCCGCGAGTTTCTGCGCCGCTGGGGAGTGGAGCACCAAATCTCCACGCCCCACTACCCTCAGTCTAATGGGCACGCCGAGTCGGCGGTCAAGGCCGCCAAACGGCTCATCCAGAAGGCGACCAGCAGCGGTGAGCTCGACACGGACGCCTACGCGCAGGGACTGCTGGAACTGCGCAACACGCCGCGCGCCGACGGCCGCTTTCCGGCTCAGGTCCTGTTCGGCCACCCGCTGAGATCGGCAGTGCCGGCGCACCACCGGGCCTTCGCCGACTGCTGGCAGCGGGCGGCGGACGACTGTGACGCCAGAGCCGCGGCGCAGCAACAGAAAACAGCCGAGCGTTACGACGGGACAGCCCGACAGCACAGCGCTCTCACCATGGGTCAGCGCGTGCTCGTCCAAGACCCGCGGTCGGGGCTGTGGGACCGCGTCGGCGTCAGCACGGCGGTCGGACAGCGGCGCGACTACCTGGTCTGGCTGCCCAGTGGCCGAGTCTACTTGCGGAACCGGCGCTATCTGCGACCCCAGAGATCCCTCATCTCGGAGGGCGCCGCCACACCTGCACCCGGGCGCCGGCAGCAGCCCGCTCCGAGCTCGGCACCCGACGGCACGGAGGAGACCGCCGCCGCTGCGCCGGCGGGCGGACAGCCGGCACCACCGGTGCTGCGGAACAGCGCCGACGACCCCAGCTCAGTGCGCCGTGGGACGCGCCGCCGTCGCCGTCCTGCCCGACTGACCGTGCGCTGGGCGGACCAGACGTACGACTGAGTTCGTGCGTCCACACCGTGTATGGTGTACATTTTTGTTTATGTGTAGACGCAATGCGTATCTTGTACCGACGCATGCGTCTTGAGGGGGGGGGGGTGTTGTAATGGGGCACGTTTTCCCTTCCCTTCATTTGGTATCACCCCCCGGTCATATGGAAGCACAGAAACAATAAACAGTTCCATGGTCGCCGCCATCGTGTTTCGGTCGCCCAGTGCCGCACCAGAGATATCGCCGTGCTAATCGCCACTACCGACCATAACAGGGCGAGGTTTGTGAACGTTTGTTGCGCTCGCATTGGTACATGCCCAATATGTGCAATGTGCATCCATATACATGAATGACATGTGATTCACGATGCAAGTGTACCTATACATCATATGTGCGTATATGAACGAAATAAATGTGAAAAACATGTTTTCGCTCACAATATCAAACAAAACTTTAATTTATTCGCTTTTCATTAGCTGATTTTATCAGCTGGCAACCATCACCCATCGTCCTTGGTGTAGTCGAACTCGGCGCACTCGGATAAGTGTTCGAAATTTTTGACGTTTACTTGTTGCTAGGGCAACCGGGCAGTGTATAAACTTTTTACTCGTCAACAAGTGCTTGCAGAGCTGCCGCTCACACTTTTTAACACAGTCTTTATGCGTCAGTTTGTGTGGCGCGTCATATCTGAAACATGTTTTGTGAGGCTACAAAACCATTCAAGTCATCTCCTTCAAAAGACGTGTTTTGTAACATTCTCGATATGTTTTTGGGGCTTTAACTGCTAGCTTCATTCATCCTATCTTGCGAGAGGATAGTCATCATTCGGGGACCGATAGTTGAAAGCAAGAAATAACGACGAGGAGGTCTTGTAAAAAGTCGCAGCCATTGCATTGAGCATTAAATGACGAAAATATGTTTACCCCCATCGCCTCAGCCGATCACGTGCTGTCACCCAGTACCCACCTGGTAACCGCCACGAGACGTACGGTTATAAGCCCGACGCCTTCATTGTTTGTGTGTTTGTTTTGGTGAATTTGGTCGGACTTGCAAATTGCAATGATGGACCGCAGGGATGCGGAGCCGGAGCCGGAGTCGGAGCCGGAGCCGCCGGAGCCGGCATATTTTGCCCGGAGCCGGAGCCGGAGCCGGAGCCGTGAAACAATATAGCCCGGAGCCGGAGCCGGAGCCGGAGCCGCCCAAAAAGGGGGCGACTCCGACTCCTTTTTATTTTTTGAAGAGGAAAAAAAAATAATTGACCTAGTTCGGTTTGACAGTACAAGGCAGTAAAACATATGGTATAATGGTACTTACGTCATGGGCCATCAAGTGAATGAAAAAAGCCGAATATCCCCAGTATCCCACAGTACGCAATAAACTGCCTGTCTGCTCCTCCCCCCCCCCCCCCCACGTCTTCTGCATCCCCAGAACATGAGGACCGGTCATCAGGTGACGGCCATTGTTTTCAAGCCAGTGCAGTGGACTGCAACTCCCAGCACCGTCTCTTCCCACCCCCCACCCCCACCCCCACCCCCCAATGCAGCCGAGACGGGCGTCAGCTTACGATGGTTCAGTGAACTCCGATTCGCGGCGACTGCGTTTCCAATGCCATCGCTTCCTAGTCCTTTGTTCTGCCAGTTCTCTCCGAGGTGCGTTTGCGCGGGGACGCGGTGAGCCGGTCCTGGCAAAGAGTAACGCGTATAACCAATCCAATTTTTCTTCCACCCGTATTTAATTGATTGCATAGGGGATGTACTGAGTCGGAGCCGGAGCCGCCGGAGCCGGAGCCGGACCATTTTACTCGGAGCCGGAGCCGGAGCCGGAGCCGCCATAACATTTCACCCGGAGCCGGAGCCGGAGCCGGAGCCGATTTTTTTCTCCGGAGCCGGAGCCGGAGCCGGAGCCGTCTGAAATTTCCACGGCTCCGCATCCCTGATGGACCGGGGGGAGGGGGATGCGGACATTAAAGTTTGACAAGTTGGGAATTGACCAAAAAAAGGTTGGGAACCACTGCTTTGAAGTCTACTCTTTTTGCTCATGTCATTATCGTCGTGCCTTAGGCAATTGTTTTCTCGTAATGCGAAAATAAACTGTTTTTTTTTTTCTAACATTCCGTATGACTGTGTGGCGCCGCCGACTATTTAGCTGCGGCGTGTCCTCTCATTCCAGCCGCTCTTTGCGCCGCCAATTGTCGCCACGCGCCATGAATCAAGAGCGTTTGTTTTCCTGCTGTGTATTGTTGTAAATTTGTTATGAACATCACATCTGCTTTACCTGTTTCAATCATATTTAATATCTGTCTTTAATATGTTGTAATTTCTAGATTGACTTTCCGCTGTTTCCATACACTCGATTCGTTTTGATCATGTACAAAAAGTAGTTCTCATTTCTGGCATTGTAGTTCCGCCCCCGTTGATTTTCCTGTTCTGTTTCTTGTCTCGGCCGATTTACCACGTGTTCTCAGTATAAATATAACAATTTAGTTTTGTACGCAGAGTGTCAGAGAGACTGAGTATCGCGACGAGTTCCTAGTTTTATTTCTCACGTTTTTCACCCAGTTTTCCCATCTGAACCTCCGCTTTGCTGTTTATTTCGTTCTTTCATTGTGGGTAAATTCCTTTCCTCCGAACACGCCCATCATTACCCATAGACCCACAACTGCATGATTGTTGTTTTAGGATCTGGATGCATGGTCTCCACAGCTGATCGAGGCCGCTCTGAGGTTCACTTTCCAGCGGGCCGTGGTGGAAAGCCACGATGACATCGTAGATCTGCTAGTTAAGGTAGGTAGTGATTCTGTCACGGCTGCCATGGTGCCATAAGGGATTTTCACTGGGTCGGTAAAACTAACGAGGTCGGCACTTCGTACATGATAAGGGTGGCCCTTCTCACCTTTGGGGGTGGCATCCGGATTTATATTGGCCATGCTGCCATACAGTATGTGTCTCGTACAGTATGCTGAGTGCTGACGATGTGCAACTGGTAGTGTTTGGAAGGCCCAGTGACAGTGACGTCCCTGGTCTAGAGCGCAACCTTTAACTGTTGTCACTATGGTTTCGTAAAAATGGACTTAAGCTTAACGCCAACAAAACAAAGCTGCTCGTCATCGTAACAGGTCAAAATCTCCGCTCGATGCCTCCGACACGGGCTCAGTTCATGGGTGCTACGATTACCGGGTCTCTCACGGCCAAAAACCTTGGCGTAGTTTTCGACCGAAATATGACTTTTTCGGCATATGTGGATGACGTTGTGCGGCGCTGCACCGGCTTACTAAGTGGTTTTGGCCACAGTAGGCACGCGCCTCCACCGGATACGCTTGCTACCATTGTATAGTCTCTCTTGAAAGTACAGTGGAATCCGCTTAATAAATCCACGGATAATGAATCCAGCCGCTTATATTGGCCGCTTGAGCTGTTCACGGAATTTATCCATAGATCTCCGTAGTTAATAAATCAGCCTAATAAATCCACGTACTCCGCTTAATAAAGCCACTTGGGAGTTTTGAAGTCCGCAGTGACATCTCCCCATTCTAAATGTGGCATCCAACCCGCTCAAAAAGAACCACACTGGAGCAGCGATCTGCAGCAGTTTGACTTCCCACGACAGAGGGAATTCAGGGGTATCAAGAGCGCCCATCACCATGCACAGAAAAATGTTCCCGACAAAGCAGGCACCCTCAACTGTATCGTTGGCAACAGGCATGACGGGCAGTGATCGTGGAAAACACGTCGACTTAATCGCTGTGACAGCTTTGCAGTGTGCGCTGGTCACTTTTAGGTTTGAAAATTTGATGCGCGATGTCCTTTACAACATCAAAACGTATTGAAAACGTTGATATATTGGCTATGAAACCTACATATTCGGAAAGCGCACTCTTTTCTGACCAATATCCACGGAAAATATTATGGAAAAGTCAGTAGACTTTTGAGAAAATGACTCAAGCATACGACCGTGTTTTGTTAGCGATGGTTATTTTTCGACAAAATGGGATCGATGGCCTACTGAACCCGCCCTCTGACCAGGGCGCGGGTGAAGGAAGCTGGTCTTATCTCGACCTTCGAGGGCGTTGTTCCGAAGGCCATAAGAGGTTGTTTGTTGTTGAGTGTTGTCAGTGTGTCGCTTTCACCGCCAGCCCGTAAGTCGTAACGGCAGCCTTTTCTCCCCAGACGTGGACGTGTCTGCTCTGCCGCTCGCCGCTGGCCACGCTACTCACGGCTGCGTGTCCTCACGTGGCCTCCTGGCTCTGTATTCTAATGCAGCCCACCAGGGTGGCCATCAACTCAGCACTACTGTTAACGCCACCCGCGCCGGTACGTACCGCAACCAGCTGCCTCCGTGCTCAGGCCAGCTGGGTGATCGTCTGAGGTGGTGGTGGGGGGGGGGGCGAGGGAAATCGTTTTTGTCATTTAACCCGCGCCCTGCTGAGGAGGGTATTTGAACACGGTAGCCCTTTTGCAGATCTTTCTTGAGTGAGGTTCTCAGATTTGACCTCAGTTCAACGGCTTAGCCTCCAGAGGGCAAAAACTGTAAAAATAGCCGTTTTCACGAAAACTGTTTTTCGTCAATAACTTTTGACTCAAGAGAGCAACGACATTACTTTTTGCAGCGTCGTGTTCCTCTGTTGTTGTTGTTGTTTCCCTCCGGTCGCGGGTAGTCCCAGCGACGTAGCTTTAAAGGGACTATCCCACCTTTAACATGGGGTTTGAGTTGAGATAGCCAAGTTTGCGGCGAGGTTCAGAAACCACTATCTATCTAGGTTGCAACCCCCGTGGCCTCTTGGTGTTGAAGAAATTCGTTCCCTTCATTTGAAAATGGGCCTTGTGCAAGGCTCTATCTTCAACATGGAGCGACCGTTCGTGTGACGTCACCTCGTTTAGTCATTCTGATTTAAATGGGTTTGTTCGTTGAAAAATCGCTTAAAACTTGGTCTGAACTTTGTTGTGGTGCCTACAGAGTAAAAGGAATCAGCTTTATGACAGTAATGTGGGCTGGGGAAGGAGGTAATTTTGGGCTGTGACGTCACATATTTGAAAGTTTGTATTTGGAATATGGGAAGCCTAAGATGTTTAATGAAAAATAAATGCCAGAACCGTGCTCCTGGTCATCCAATCTATAAAGTCGGGCACAATTTAACTGGTTTTAACAACATTTTAGAAGGTGGGATAGTCCCTTTAACGGCGCTAGAGGGCCCTGGAAGCGGCCACCAGGGCCGCCACGGCACCACTGTGCCGGACAGGGGTGTCGATTTGTGAAAATGGTTAGTGGTGCCCAGAGCTTTAACCTTCGCCCGTATACGTTGGGGGGTCGAACGGTTACGGATCCCCCCTCGGTTTTTCGCGAATAACTCGCATAAAAAGCGGCCGATCACGACGAAACTTTAAGTAGTGCCCTCGCGTTGATCAATTTTACACCTAGGTACCCTTGAAATTTCATGACCCTGACCCAAATGACCAGTTTGACCTGTGACCTACTTTTCGAGACCATGTTTGGCCGAAATCGCGATTTGGCGTATGTCGGCTCGCATTAGCCGCGCGTTTGCAGTCTTTTCGTGGTTTCAAGCGCTCAAACATGTGATAAGATGTTGCTCCCATGCATTAGGGTGGGTGTCAAGGTCACGTGAAGGTCAGGTCTGGTCATTGACCTTTGATGACCATTGACCTTCGATGACCTCGGTTCACTTTTTTTTAGTTTTACATGTTTCCAGGCTAGGTTTTGGAGCTGAATTCGAATTTAACAACCATATGAACATTTACGAAGTAGTTTTGGTGCCTTCATAACATGTCACGAAGCTGTCAGAGGCGGTTGACACCTAATACGAATACCTGGCAGGACCCCTACTGGTTGACCTGACCCGTCCTGACCCCACCTGGCCTAAATGCATGACGACATCTTTGTGATCAAAACTGACATAATATTCGTGATCAGCACCCCGAAAAACCCCATAGCAGCCACGCCTTACGACGTTCTAACAGGTCCCGATTTTCCCGACTTTTGGGTCATTGACCTGACCTGGAAGGTCAACCAGTGACCTAGGACCTTAAAATTGGGTATCATCGGCTTCCTCTTGTCACAGGAAACACGATCGTGTTTTCCGCGAAGCTCTAGCTCGATCAGGGGCGAAACGGCAAGGGGGTTCAACGGACCCCCCCCCCCCCTCTTATACGTTCGCGGCTGGAAAAACACCAATACGGGCGAGGGTTAAGGCAGACCTCATATGCTATTCTGTAAGATAAAACTGCATTGTGTTAGTATCAGGGCCTCGGATGACATGTTAACTGGGTGGGCAATCGCCCACCCAGTAGCGATTTTTGCCCACCCAGTGGAGTGTGTTTGCCCACCCAGTAAGACGGAGACGGAGCAGTTTTACCCGCGCTGGTCCGGTGCTCAGCGCCTTCCGCGCCGGGCCGGGGGTGTGTGTCTGAACACCCCCGTCTAACTCGGCTCCTGGGCCACGTAGCGACATGCGGTAGGCGGCATTGGAAAGACAGTTTAAATGAAGATAATTCTTGGTCTTTATAAGGTCAGGTCAAAGCTCAGGTGGCCAGAGGTCATAAAAGGTCAAGTTTGGATTGTTTGAACAATTTTCGAAAACCTGGCGCATAATTTGAGAACTAATAGAGCTGCAGCGCCGCGGAAAAGCGCATTCGATATCTCTTTCAACGCTCTTTCGCGAAAGTAGTCCTCAAATTTGACCTCAGGTCAACGGCTTAGCATAAATTCTTCAGAGGGCAAAAACTCCAATAATAGCCACCCATGAAAAAGTTTTTTTTTTTCTGCCATAGCTTTTTACTTGAGAAAGTCATGACATTTATTTTTCCAGCCACCATGTTCTCCTTATCAGGACGCGTCGAATAAAGTATAGTTTGACCTTGAAATTTCATTTTGAAATTTGACCCTGGGTCAAGGTCAAGACCTGACCGGAAAATGTTATGTTGCATGTCAGTCGATCCGTTCAGTCGATAATCGCTCTAGCATACGCCTACCAGAAGTTATTAACGAAAAACTGTTAGGCTTCCTTTTGTGACCTGAGATGACCTCAGGGATATAAGAAAGGGTCACGTCATTTTCACGTCGGGTGTCATTTTCAAGTTTAGTGTATCATGTTGAATTGTTAATAGGTGTTTGGAAGTGTTCAGAATGGTGTCCGTCTAGATAGAACGCATTTTAATTTCCTTTCATTATATATGTATATGTATTATATGTATTATATGTATATATAATATTATATATATATATATATATATATATATATATATATATATATATATATATATATATATATATATATATATATATATATATATATATATATATATATATATATATATATATATATATATATATATATATATATATATATATATGTATATATATATATATATATCAGAATATTTGGGAAGCAGGTTCTCTCTGATACATATGTCATTAAACACGACAGCATGTTTGGTGTTATTCAGCTTTTTTGTTTCAGCTTTTTCATTCAGCTTTATTTATTATTATTTTCATTCAGCTTTAATAGCGCGACAGAACGACAAACGACGACTGGCCATCACTGAAACCGTCATCATCCGCGACACATCACCCATCATCAACACACACATGAAAACTCTGACAAACATTCCACTGTTCGACAGACAAATGATGTAATGTGTGAAAGTTTAAACGATGTGTCATCTGTGAATTATGATGGTTTGTTGTTGTTATGCGCGACCCAATGTAAATATTCACGGTAACGATGTTAAGACCTGTGTATTTAGCTGGATGTAGATTTGTGTTCGAAAGAGTGGTGCCATGATACAAATAGGACGATGTTTGAAGAAATGTTAATATTTTATTCATCTGTGACATATATTGCGCGGCATCATTTGTGTATATTCATTTCTCTGATGATGATCAATGTTGATCGAAAGGTAAGATAAATATAACAGCGAACGAATTATGAACGAAGTTTAATTTACATCCTAATGAGTAACCGATTTACGACAACTTATATATATATATATATATATATATATATATATATATATATATATATATATATATATATATATATATTTGTATATTTTGGGAGAAATCCATTTTCGAGACATGTTTCGTTAAAAATGACCGAATTATTTGCGTTGATAAGTTTCTTCTGAACCTTTTCGATAGAACGCATTACATGAGCAGATCGGGTGTCAATTCGTGATAAAAGCTCCCCAAGCACAGTCATTTACGTGTTTTACGTTTTTTACGTTTTTTTTCCCTTATATTTGCGACCGGTTTCGTCATTTCTAATGACATTGTCAAGCAAATGTGACATACCTACAATCTACATGCTAAGATACAAAACAGACGTTTACACTTTATAACGCTGGCAATGAGCACAAATAATATGATAAATAATCTCGCGTGTTGAGCACACTACATTTAAATTAAAGATCCTCCGACAATGGAAGAGCAAGAAAACCACATATATCTGAAATCAGAATATGTCACGGTATACCCCATCAAAGACCTTTGCCGCCCCTGTCTCATGAAGATATATCATGGAGGGTGATGATGCCGACATGATCTCGCTGGACGTTCATGGGGGGCCTCTTTAGATGAATGAGCACAGCCTCCAGAACTTTGAGCCGTTTCCGGTTCATTTCACGAGCTAGGATGATGGTATTTTCAACGAGATCACTACGGCTCACTGCTCTTCCATGACAGCTCTTCATGTGTTTCTGGATTTCACCACTTTGTTTGTGAAAGGTGAGTCGTTTGGATAGCGTGTTGGTCGTGTGACCGATGTAGGATACCTTTGGATGTCGAGGCTTGCAATCCTCGTGGGGGCATGAGAATTGGTAAACTACATCTGTACACTTGAGATGTGACTCCTTGTGTAGGTTATTGCGCATAATCAGGTTCGACGTTTTTCTGTTTTTGTAATATATGAGCGTCTTCACGTGGTGTTTGCCCAAAGGTGTGACATGTCTTTTAATGATTTCTTTCAGGACCCGCTCGTCCTCCTTGTACGCAGCTCACATTTGGTTCCTGTAGTACAAGATGTGCGAAGTCACCTCTTCTTGTTTGGGGTCGCTCGATTGGGTCATATAGTTGTTTAAAGCATCTCTGATTTCTTTGTCAATGTCTTGAACAGCGTAATTGTTGTTAATTAGCATCTTCTTCACATGGGTGATTTCTTTGTCAAATAACTCCCAGGAACTGCAAATTTTGAGAGCTCTTCTGACGTATGTGCGTATTACGCCACGCTTATAGCGTTTGGGGCACTCGCTGGACCCATTCAAACAGCTACCTCCGTCAGTTTTCTTGCGATAAACATAAG